AAGTGTAATTCCAGTTAATACTATTTTTGAAGGCAATGCCATCTTTGGTACACTTTGCAGACCAGCAGCAGGACTGATTCATGGAAGTCATTACTTTAAAATCATGCGAGAAGGGAACAAAATGCTTGAGGTAGAATGAATTGAAAAGGAGGCAGGATGCTGTCTACCAGTATCATGGCAAGCAGTTTTTTTTCAAGACATAAAGCCTTTTTTGGAACAGAACACAACAGCAAATACCTTCATTACCACGTGGACATAACTTACAGACTTTCTGCTTTTTTTCCTATTTTTATTTTTTTGAAGAAAAGCTGTATTATTTTAAGTGGAGCAGGATTTTTTTTTTCTCTTTTTTTTTTTTTTTTACTGTGGTGTACTTGCATTTCTCTTCATTTGGGAAAAATAAGCGTATCATCCCTTCAGTGAGAGAAAAGTATGCTTTTATAGATATGAAAGACAGTTTCTATGGTTTAAAACTGCGTTAGGTTTTTTCTTTGTTTTCATGATGTTTCAAGTTTGACTAGAGTTGACAGATTAAATTGCAGCTTTGGAGTTCCTTGTATGAATTTTATTTCTTAATGGTAAAGGTTTTTGATACTAGAAGATGCCTGATACCAAAAGCTTTTAAAAGAATTTGTAGCACTTGGGGAACTGTTGTCTCTTTATTCTAACATTAGTGGATTCATATTTTACAAAAACTAGAAAGGAGGCTACTGATTAGGCACCTGTAGACTCTGGTACTGGCTTAGTTGCTTTTTATATAAGGCATCTACTGAAAAGTGCATTTTGTATGTGTAGAGCACTTGTTTACCTGTCATGGAATTTGTACTGTTTGCTGTGATGTTTTGATTAATTTAAAAACAACCCTTTCAATTTTGTTTTTGGCAGAAGAGGACAAAGCATTTGTAGAAGACTTAAGTGGACAAGGGACTAAAGCAAACAAGAAAAATGCCAAAACCAGTAAGTAGCTGTTTTTTTCACTCATCTGAAGATCTAACAGAGTTTTCATGTTTTAGAGTGGTGATCTTATAACAGCTGTAGTTGTTTTGACTCTGCCCTTTCTAGATTTCATAAGATCTAATAATGTACAGTTGGAGCTGAGATAGCTTAATACCAGTGTGGAAAAAAGATCAAGAAAGCTTGGTAATGCAAGTTACGTGGAGCCTTACTTAGAGATGGGGCAGTACTTACAAACCACAATGAACTTGGAGCCCATTTAGCTGGCAGGAGGAATGACTTTTCAAGAATTGTTGACTTTGAGATGAGATGACATACAGTGGTTAATGGAGGCATTATTAGAGCCTGACTAAATGTCTGTGAGAATCGGTGGAAGAACTTGCTGCAGGATTTGGCAGGGGAAGCCAGAACATGTGTAGAGTGACTGCGACTACCACATAGGTGGCAGTTTTACCATGGCAGAGGGTGAAACCTAGAATATAAGTGTTAAAGGGAGGAAATAAACTGTTTGTGGTCTCCTGTTCATCTCACTTCATCTTCAATTTTCTATCCAGGGAAAAAAAAAAGAGCCCAAACCTCAAGCTTTTTTGCTGGTAATAGTTCTAGAATTCTTTGAAGAGATAATTATTCAGCAGCTTGATTATTTTGCTGTTGATGTAATATTGGTTGCTCAGGATTTCATCTGCCATGTGTTAAGTGACTTTTGGTTGTCTCTTCCCCTTGTATCCAGTGAGCAAAGCATTTGGAAAAGGAACTGAATTGTCAGGACAGGTTATTTCTATTCAACTTGATTGGTTTATGTAATTGCCTTCGGGCTTTCTTGGTTTTCTGATGTTTCATTGAGGTAGTAGGTTATGAGCAGGGCAGCAGATCTGTTGCACAAAGACATGTTTATTCTTAGTATTATGTGTAGACATATTCATACCTATACACAGAGCCCTAACTATTCCATGATTCTATGTATAGAAGGTTTTTGCTTTCAATCAGAAATTACCATTATAAATAATGTGTATTGCATGCCAGCATTTGGAACTGTTACAGGTTACTGACTAATGTGAACATGGGCCTGTTGAAGGGCTAGAAATTGTGTTCTGAGATTTGCTCTTGAACTACTGTCCAAATGGCCATACAATATAGTTTCTATAATTTCTTCTTTTCTCACCTGTGGATTGGGGGCAATATCTTGGCACTTCCTGAAGTTGGAGATAGTTACCTGTATCCTGCCCTTTTCTTACAGAAAGCTACACTATTAAGGACACGAAAATGTATTTGCAGCATATTGTTTTCTGACCTTTTTGATTCCTGGCTATGATAATTGAATAGTATCTTTGATAGACATTCTCAACTGGAAAACTGTATTTTAAGAGTGAAGCATAAAGCCACTGTGAGCACATGTGTTTCCTGAAGCCCCCAACTCCATGGTGCTGCAGAGCAGTGAGGTCTCAGAAGTGATGACTGAAAGAAAGGTGGCCTGAGTGAGGTTCTTTCTTTTTAAATTCTGTGACTGGAACCATGAAAATTTAGGCAGGCAGGGTTCCCTCTATTTTTAGGACCTGAGAAAATCATAGGAAATGCAGTTTTGTGGTTGTTCAGAAAAAAAGCATCTTTAAAACTGAGATAGCAGAGATATTGGAAGAGCTCACAATCCACCCTAGGAATGGAAATTTGCTACCAGATCTTAGGAGAGAAGCTGGACTCATGCTGAAGATGAGCTAATGTTTTTTCCTTTTATGAGGGGCTTTTTATATAAGGAGTTCTCATGTGCTGGGATGTTCTTGTATGTCTTCTGGCAAAATAGACACATGTGAGATCTTGGAGGCTAAATTAAAGAAACCATTAAAAAATGAAATTAAATTAATTACATTTCTTGGAAAATGTCATATGGATTTCTTCCTGTAAACTCCAGGTTGCTGTAATTATAATTAGTAATCAGTGAATGAAGAAGTAGTACATGTCAAAGGTTAAGTAATTTTATCTATAAAAATGAAACCTTAGATTTTGCTCTGGTTGCCTCTTTTGAATGGTAAATCTTCAGGAGCTTTTCCCCTATTTTTTTTCCTTGCTGCTGTAATCAAAACTGGAGTTCTGTTTTCAGTGTGTTTAGTTCTCTGCTTGCTGAAGAATAGAATTTGTTCAATCTTATTTTTGGTGTTTTCTTCCTAAAAGAACAGACAGAATGTTTCTCAGCTGTATGCCTTTCTCCAAGATCTCCCCCAAAAATAGAAACATAGAAACTAAAATTAGACCTCATTAGTTACATAACAGTTAATCATTTCATAGGCTAAGAAGATTAGGTTTAATTGACTGAAATATTAGTTACATTTATAGGGTGTATGAGGAGTTAAAATTACCAGCTGTTTTTGGTGGTAGTTTGCAGCATTTTTGCACAAGGCAGCAAGGCGTAAAGGAGAAAGCATTATGCTGGGTAGTAGTGGGTAGATGTCAAAGCTACTAAGATTAAAAAAAGAAGTCTTTTATTTTTTATTTATTTTTTTTTTTTAGGTTTGAACGTTGTACAATGTTGTGTATTCAGAAGGAGTAGATACCAGCTTCTTGAATGATATTGTATGTTTAAAATTTGAACAAATATGTACAAGATCAAGTTAATTTCTCTAAAGTGGTTGAATTAAAATACTGTAAAATTACTTTTTCCCTTGAGTTGTTTCCTTGTTGTTTTACAGGAAAATCTGAGATGTGTAGTGCAGTATTTGAATTATGGTTTGAATAGATTATTTGTTTCTGCAGCATAAATAGACAACTGATGTCAGTTTGGAGGGCTGTTTTTTTTCTGGTTTCTCTATTAGTAAAATCTCTTTGCCATTATTCTGTAGCCTTCTGTTCCTAATGCTGTTTAATCTTTATCTTTTTACCTTATCTTCATTAACTTTTCTCTTACATCTCTTCCAATGTCTGCTTTGAGGTTGATATTCAGAGTGTGATATGTGTATTTGTACAGTGTGTAAAGCAGTGGGACCAACACATTGCTACCCCCGATACAAATTATTTAATATGCAAATTTGATACAGTTATCAGCTGCACTAGCATGAAGAAACCTTTTTTTGCCATATGAAATTTCCTTATACCTGACAATTGGACTGTTTTTTTGTGGCTTTTACATGTGACTAATTCACACTGCTTGTCAAAACAAAGCAAAACCTCTTCCATGTAATTTGAAATGGCTTTCTTACTAATATTGATACCTTCTCAGTTTTGGGCTTACTGTTGAAAGATGAAGTACCACAATGAACATCTGCACACAATGGCTGAAGTGCAATAATAGGAAGTATTAGACTATTAAGCTATATTTTTTCAAGTCTTAAAGCAGTGAAAGAATACAACAAAAGTATAATTCTCATATAAAATGTGTGCTTTTAATATGTGCGCGTGGATGTTTATTGCTCCGTGTATCTTCATTGACTATATTCTTCATTGATTTTGATAAATTCCTCCACAGATAAATTACTTCAGATTTTTTTTATTTTTTTTTTTTAATAAATGCTATTTTGTGAGCTGTGGCAAATGTCCTCATAACCCTTTAGCAACATGTTATCAAAACTTCAGTTGCTCCCTTCACAAAAATAACATGTATGTAGGTATGTGTTCTTCTCTTGACCATGCTAAAGTAATTTGAACCAACTCTGGTAAAATACAGGTGAACTCAGACTGCTAGTTCTGATGCCAAGGACCTGGGCAAGTGTTAAAAGTGATCCTATGTGAACCTCACGAGGTTCAACAAGGCCAAGTGCAAGGTCCTGCACCTGTGTTGGGGCAACCCCTGCTATCAATACAGGCTTGAGAGGGATGAAGGGATTGAGAGCAGCCTTGTGGAGAAGGATTTCGTTGTACTGGTGGATGAAAACCTGGACATGAGCTGGTAGTGTGTGCTCACAGCCCAGAAACCAACTGTATCTTGGGCTGCATCAAAAGGAGCACGTCCACCAGGTCAAGGGAGGTGATACTGCCCCTCTGCTCTGGTGAGACCCTCCACTGCAGTCCTGTGTTCAGCTCTGGAGTTTTCAGCACAAGAAAAGACATGGACCTGTTGGAGAGGGTCCATAGGAGGATCACAGAAATGCCCTGACGGCTCAAGCACCTCTCCTGTAAGGACAGTCTGGAGAGTTGGGGTTGTTCAATCTGGAGAAGAGAAGGCTTCTGGGAGACCTTAGGGCAGCCTTCAGTACCTAAACGGGGCCTAGAAGAAAGATGGGGGATAGACTTTTTAGCAGGGCCTGCTGTGATAGGACAAAGGGAAATAGTTTTAAATTGACTTTTCCTGTTTCCCATTTTTGGCAGTTCTTAGTGGGTTTGTTTATTTTCACCCTTGGGGATTAATCACTATGAGGTGTAGGACCCGCTTGCTGCCAGCCCCACAGCACAGGTCTTAATCCAGGCAGGGTGCTCCAGGCTGCCTCTGCGTTGCTGCTGTACCCCACGTGCTCCCTCCACACCTCTGGCTCACCACATGAACCTTGACAGAGAATTTATAAAGTCTAAGTTACTCAATTACTAAGACTGCAACAGCATTTTTAAGTGTTTCCCAGACATGACTGCCATGGTATTTTAGTATTTAATATATGGCTAGAGACATCTAGTTCTGTAATTAGCAATATAAATTGTTAAATTGTGGCATCAAGGATAATGTTTGCATATAGCCAGTTTTTAACTTCAGGAAAAAGGGATGTTTTCTCAGGCATACTCCTATGAATTGCGGAATCATCTACAGAGTTTCTTGATTAGTTTACCAGAGTAGGATCCATAGAAGACATCTGTTCATAGTTCAGTGAAAATTATGTATGAATATACCAAATGAGACTTGTTGCAGTTCTTACCCTGAGCCCTAGCACAGCAGAAGAGGATTTGTGTTGTGATTGAGCAGTTGAAGGAATTGGCTACATCTTGCCTAGTGCTTTGTCATAGTTCCCAAAGGTTGAAGGAAGATGTGTGATCCTGGTGAGAGCAAGATTGAAAAGCAGGCATTATATGGGTCTTGTAGTATGAGCAGTGGTAGCCTTCCAGCACTTGCTTCAGGAAACCTTCATCTGTTTCTTTAGTCACCATTGCAAGAGCTCCTTCCCATTTCCATATTCATGTAGTAAAGTTGGTTCAGAGTACTTATGTTCAGATTAGTGTCTGTCTTCCCAGTTTGTGGTTCAAATAATTTCCCTCTGTCAACAATGTCACATTAGAAGTGTTGCTTCAAAGTAGCCAGATACCAAGGAGCAGGTTACATGAGTGGCAGTCCATTAATTTACTGGGCCTTCGTCCTCTGCTGTCTTCTCAATTCCCTGCCTTTTTATAATGTGGAAACTTCCCTCATGACTCTTATTAATGCAGTTGATTAGCTTTATTTTACAGACAGCATAACTGACAGCAGGGGGTTGATTTTGTTGAGAGGGTGCTGTGTGATTGAGTTTTAGATAAGTAAAACTTGTGGGCTCAGTCTTAGGCTTTGCCAAAAGTAATGTTCTTATTTTCCAATGCTAGAAATAACTGAAGCTGTGAAACAATGTTCTAAGGTAGTAAAAGCTCGGTGTTTGCATGCCAAAAAATCTTCAGTCAGTCCAAATGTCTTCAAAAGGAGTAGTGTAGTAACACTACACTACCCAGTGTAGTGTTAACCTTGTGAGTCTTTACTTAAATAACTCATATCAGAAAAGGTAACATTTTAATATTGCTATCATTGAATTTGTGACTTTCTTAGAAGAGCCAGAAGTGTAGATATGAATTAGCAATTGGGCTATATGTTAGTCAAATGCTCAAAGAAAAAGAAAATTGCTGAAAACTGAAGCAGTTAAAGGTGTATAAGTGAGCCAGTACTCCTGATGTGTGTTTGTATCTATTGCAGATGCAGCAGCCGTGTATTCAGATTTTATTTGAGGCAGTAATGTCCAGAAGTGACCAGAATCTAGACTGTGTTGAGCTAGCCTCTCTATTATATCTGTTATTGTAGTGTTTGAATATTTTAGTTCTTGTGAGGAATATAGACTTGCATGTAGTAATTCTTGTATTTATAGACTATGACATTTATTATAAGGATACTTACGTGGGAATTTTCTGCTCCAACTCTTTAGGAACTTGTCTGCTGCAATTAGTTGAACTTGCTGTTCTTTGTAGATCTCCTTCGATGCTTCTTGTTTTGGCAGTGGTGCTGTTAAATGACAGTCTTTGGTATTTAATAAAGTTACATTTTAGCCTTATCCTTTGTAATTTGCTTTAGGGCAGCTACAAGTAAGCAAGCTTCATTTATAAAATTGAAAAGCTGCTTTAACAAATGAACCTATTATAATTAAGGGGTGACCCCTAAGTCAACCCAGTGGGCAACTGGCAGATTTTTTTTAGCAGACTTGTTTAAAATGGGTTGTTCTGTTAGAGAACAATTTTTTTTTTCTTCTCAATATGAGCAAAGTAGGAGAATCTACAGAAGACACCTCTTCCTGACACACTAATTTTTTTATTTTTTCAATCAAAGTTTACTGTCTTCTACTCCAAAGCCTTCAACTCTTGTTCTTTATCAGTGTTTGCACACAAAAACAATTTGCTAACCTCCACTATCTTCCCTGCTTGCAGGTCTATAACCTAGAGGTCCTCAGACTCCCACTACTTTTGTCATGTATCCAGTTTATGGCCAAAGTCATTTACATTGACACTTAAGAAAGGAGTGAACAAGTGTAATCTGTTCCAGAGGGAAACTTCTTTTTAGTTTTCTTTTTTCACCTTAGATCTCCCTTCTGTATTTTTTTCTTGCAGAGACTTTTGCAGGCTCTCACTTCTCAAAGTATTCCACCTGGTGGCAAAATTATGGAAAATAGTTAGTGGAAATAGTTTACACAGGCATAGATCAAGGAGTGTAGGAACCTGTCATACAAGTCCTAATTTATTCCTGCTCCATATTTTATAGTAGAGAGAAAGAAATTAAGGTATATCTGTGTGCCTTTAGTTTCCTGTTTCTGGGTTTTGCATTTATAGCAAAGTAGATTTGAACTTTAACACTTTGTATTCCTATTCCCTAAAGATAAATAAAATGTGATACCTTGGCAGTAGGAACAATAAGCCACTTCTCACTTCTAACAGTGGGAAGACAGAACCGTGCATTTAATGCTTTGTTTTGTTTAATGAGAATTCTCGCTTCTCTGTGTAACAGTTGAAGAGAAATCGGAACAGACTGTTGTACTTCAAGTAAGATAGGCTTCCAGTTTCTCCTAGAATATATAACTGCTTGTTTTAGAACAAATAAAAGCAAGGATTGTCAAGAGTCATCTAGAAAATAGTCCTCTCTTTTCCTAGGAAAAGGAAGGAGTTTATTGTATAGATGTGATTTTTCAGTCTTGTAGTAAAGTATTGAAAGGGATCGGTATTAAGGGCAGCTAGTTTCTATAGTTCCTCTTCCACTGATGAAAAACCTGTTTAGTAGTCTGTCCTGAGGTGTGAAAGCTCTGGTTCTGTATACTTGAAGATTGCTGAACCTCTTTATTTTAGAAAAGGCAGGGCAGGAGGCTGCTTGTCTTCATATATAAAGACCTTAAAATGGTATGTATATGACTAGGAACTTTTACATGAAGCCCACTGAAAGATAGTGCCCAGTACCTGAATGTCCCAGTGTTCTCTGAGTGCTAAGTAGTCAAGTCAGCTATCCCATTAAACTGATTTTGAACTTTGTTCCCTGCTTTGACCTTCAAACCTAGTGTTAAATATTATCCTGAGTATGCTTTAATACTAAATAAAAGATGAGAATTTTTTTTTTTAATTCAAATTTTTCATTTTTATATCTGCTGTGTTCTGTGTGGATGTAAGGCCATTAAAATTGTTGAATTTACTTACCATACGTTATTTCTTACAGGCTAATCACACTATGTAGAAGCATGATACTGTTATAGTATGATTTTAAATATTTTTTTATTTTTTGTAGATCAATGTCAGAGTAACCACAATGGATGCAGAGCTGGAATTTGCCATCCAGCCCAGTACAACAGGCAAGCAGCTCTTTGATCAGGTAACTCATTTATGTCTCTGTGTATGTATGTGTACAAGCTCATAAAACTATCGAGGGAATTAAGGCATAGTTTGAGAAAGCAGAAGTGTTTTCATGTAAAAAGTAATTTATATTGCCTTCACTATTTAATAATGAATGTAACAATGAAACTTCATTAAGGAAAGTTACCCTTTTTTTTTTTTTCCCGAATGGAAGCTCTAGGTACTTTTTCACTTCCCAGATATTTGAGAAGTAATGTTGTCCTATGATCCAGTTTGAAATTTAAGTTAAAAAAAAAAGGTGGGGGAGAAAAAGCTAAGTGGAATAGCGAAAATTATGGCTTTAATGTTCTTATGGGTTGCAGACTCATTAGAACTACACATTCTCCTTTGGTAGTGTGTTTTTTAGGTGAATGAAAGTTCATTTGCAGTTTTTGTTTGAAATGACTGACTCTTAACCCTTCTACCTCCCACCCCTTTCTGTAACATCAGTAGCACTGTGTCTTCAGACTTCGTGACTCTTTACAAAGACCTCCTGAAGAAAAGGGCTGTCCTGCTTTTTGTCTAACCAACACCACCATCAAATAAAAAGTACAGTATTCCATGGCACATAAGCCTCAGGCTGTTACTTGTCTTTTACCAACCTTTGCCATCTTCTGACATGCTGTGTTGGGTGGGGTGACATTCTGCTGTGTAATGTCTTGTGCCCAGGTAATCGGGTTCAGCCAAATTGGGGCATTCACAAATGGGAAACAAAGATCCAGCTCCGAATTCTTTTTCATTCTCTCTTCAGCTTTCTTCCTCAGTTCATTGTGGGGTGTTTGACATCTGACCAACTCTTACAATCAACTTCTAGAAGTTTAAATTGAAAAATTGTTAACTCAAGGAAAATCAACCTGCAGAGTTTTGTGAGAGGAGAGAAGTGTTTTCAACCTAATCTTAAATTCATAGTTCCACAGAGTAACACCAACAGCTGAACTGTGTTGCAAAACCAGCATGAAATTTTCAGACAAAAGTTATGTTGTTTGTTCATAGAAAGAGAATCAAATCACACTGTTACTGAGAGGGCTGGTCTTCAGGGTTTACTGTCATGTCCACCATTTCTGCATAGACTTGTTAATTACTGATTGCGGAAAATGACCTCCATGAATTTAGCTGTTGTCTAGTGCTCCTCTACATTTTTGTTAAACAACTTGTCCTCAGTCAGTGGTTCTTTTCAGCTTTTAACTGGTGTTTTCTGGAGTTGTTGATTTGTTTCCTATTGTGTATGTGTTTTCATCATCTTCATCTACTAACAGCATTTGATGTCTCTGGCTTTATCTTTTCCATTGCGAAAATCAGTAAAGTTCTTATTTATTGCACAAACACATTAAAAAAAAGTTGCTTGTATTTTAAAAGGTGTCTTAACACATTTATTGTTAATCCTTTTGTCTGTCCTGACAGTGGTCAGAATAGGCAAGAGGGAATCTCTCCTTTAGTCAACTAGTTTAGCATCTAGAACTTTCCTAGAAGAGGAAGAGCCCTGTGGTGGATATGTTTCCACACACTAGTGGTAATGGTGGGGATTGTTTTGTTGTTTTCAGTAAGGTGTTAATACTGAGCATCAGTACCTCTGGCTTACTATAGTTGCCATTCAGAAAGGATGGGAGGGTTGTCTCCCTTATTTCAAGCTATACCCCACTGTCCTTCCCAGGTATCTCAGAAGCCTCTTTTAAGAACTTTCGGAAGCTGACTCAATGAAATTCTTGCTGGGTTGTCTTTATGTGTATGTTTTGATTTGCCAAAACACGTCTATTGCTCTGGTTGCTTTTCTTCTCCAAGAAGTTTTTATTGCCTATTAATAGACAAGTTGAAGGATGTGATGGTTGTGTAAATCTTTTACAGTTGTGATGAAGGCTTTCCTGAAGCTGCTTAATGCATCTTTTGAGGCAGAATCAAACTCCTAAGTTTCTCATTCTGTACTTATTTTTCATATCACGTTACTGCTGTGCCTAAATGCTTATATTATCTTGGTACAAAGTTCCAGAAATGTTTTTCTCTTTCCTTTGAGCTGCGGCACAGTGGTAGATGATGCTCTTTTCTTATTTGTGGAGCCTGAAGTAAAGCAGGCTAATGTGTAAGCTGTTTTTTACGGTTGGTTCACAAATGTGTGTAACTATGCATTGCAGTAGACAACTTGCCTGTGTTTAAAAAACATGCAGTATGCATCCCATATGAAGGGCCGTAGTCAGCAGGTGAGAGCAGAATATTCTTTTGTGAGCATAAACACTTGTCTCCTTATGCCTTATGGGCAGAGCTGTTGAGCATGTGCAGTTCTTACTGCCGTCTTTTGCAGATCAGGTACTAAGGATCAACTTGGACAGCTGCAAAGCAAAGAGTATTCTCAGTCATCTGATAAAGCCATAAATAGTTTGATCAACATCATGCAGGAGATCTGTGCCAAAAGCAGCAGCAGGTCTGAAATTTCTGTGTCAGGACACCAAGTTTAATGTTACTCAGAACCATGCTAAGAACAAGTTAATGTTGCTAGTATTTCTTATGTTCTAAAGTCAGTGGTGTAGGAATTCTAGGCAAAATAACTGTGCTTACTAAAGGAATCAGGTTGCATCCATGAAAATTGTCCATTCTGTGCTCTGGAGCTTGAAGGTGAAAGGAGAGAGGAGGAAAAAAGGTGCACACATGAATGATTGTTAAGTAATAATACAGGTATGCAAGGCATCAGAAGTAAGTTTGCACAACTATCTTGTGACAATTTCTAATTTTCAAAATCCTAATTTTGCAACCCAATAGTACTACTTTAAAATGGAGGAGCTTTGTGTAAAATTCTGTTTACTTCACATACATCTGAATGCTTCCATAAAACAGCCGTCAGTAAACCAGCTTGCCAGAATGGCCCAACCTGAGAACATACGTAAGTACTGCCATACTGGACCTTTTGGAACCTGAGTTTAGTCATCTAATAAACTTGCTGGATATCTCTGATTAGTTGCTTATTGAATCTATGTGGACTTTTACTATACAAAAAACTTGTAAGATAATTCCACAGATTCATTATACTGTGTAATAAAAGTGCTTCTTTTGCTTTGCTTTGCACCTGCTATCTAATGATTTCCTTTGATTCTCTTGATTCTTATGTTGTCAGAAATAATTAATAATCATTCTCCATTTTCCTTCTACATGCCATGCCAGCTTTATAAACCTATATCATATTTTTCCTTTCCTCCCTTTTCTGTCAGTAGCCTTAGTTCTCATCTTAGCTAATGCCAAAAATGTCCATGTCACGGGTCATTCTTTTCAGCATTTCTGAAACCTTCCCAGTGCTGCAGCATCCATTTTTAAGATGATATAACCAGTACATATATGTATTAAAGGTCTGAGAATACCACAGATGTGTGTAGTAATATAGCAGCTGTGTGATTTTTCCCTTTTCAATGAGAACTTTGGTCACGTAATTAAAATTATTGCCTGTTACATACAGTATTTTGGTTTTATTAAATATCATCTCTTACTGAGGTTCATCTTCCTTTATTGTTCATTCACAGATCCAGATCTTTAAGGAAGTTTTTTTTATGGCAGATTTTGTTACATCAGTTTCATCCTTTTTTGCAGATCACATGTGAAGTTGGGGTGGGGGCTGGGGCTTCCCTTGTCATTACACAAGTCTGTTGTGAAAACTGTTTGTTTTTTATTTCTCTTTAACTAGCAAATCCATAAAAAGACCTTCCCTCTATTGAAGGACAGTTTTGTTTCTTTTGCCTTTGGTGAGAGACCTGATTAGAAATCTTAATAGGAAATCCATGTATGGTTTGTCAGCTA